GCCTCGGCCTGCCCTCGGCCGCACCTCTCCATGCTGTGGGTTTTTTTGGTGGAAAAGTGGGCTTTTTCCGCTGGGACGGCCGGCCATCGCCCGTGACCAACACAGACACGGTTCTAGAACCGCTCACGTGTTGTCGAAACTGCTTCTTTTCAAATCCGGGAGAACCAGGGGATTTTTATCTTTGGCTTCAGGCTGAAAGAATGAGTGTGGCCCATGTCTGGGACCGGCCGGTGTGTGACAAGGCCGGCAGACCCAAGGCGGCCGGGCACTGCGGGGAGATCACGCCGCTTCTCCGAGGCGGGTCTGGCAGGATGACGAGTCTTCTGTGCGGTTCCATCTGAGGTTTCTGTTTCTTTTCCTTCCTTCTCTCCTTAGGGCAAGGCGGTCACGCGTACCTGCGAGAATGGCTTTGGTGGGCAGGGCTGCTGTGCAGTAAGTACCCACTGAAACTGTAGCAAGACATACTTAAAAGTGTGCTTGTCTTTGTTTCTGGTTGCTTTCATGTTTTATTATTACGATTGTTGTTTCGCTAGTTGATTTTTATCTGAGTGTCTGAGGATGATGTTGATCTAATTAGAAATCTAAAGTGTTCTAAAGTCTCATGCATTACCAGGTTTCTCTGCTAAATGGGAATTGAGGAGCTGGTCTAACTGGGTTGTGTTAAGTGCTTCTGAAATGGCCTGCCCAGACAATGTAGTTATAACGACACATCCAGCACTGTGGGTTTAGTGCTACAGCAATTTCAGCAGTTCTGGTTTACACTTTTCAATGTTAATAACCAATTGGAGTTGATTTACCCTTTAAAAAGCTGTTCCAGGAGAAGAACATGACTTAGAAATGTGAAACAGGTCAAAACTCCTTTCAGCTTTATGGAAATATTTTTCTGTGGTTACTGCTCAACTGCATAGCCACGTGTGACTAAGGATCACCTTGTGTAACCATGAGCCTTCTCTTCCTAAGAGAACTTATATTGTGTTTCTGCTTGTTCTTGCTGATGCTGTTCCTTCCTGGTTGCACAACATATCTCAGAGAAATGCAGGATCCTCAGGTGGAAACTGAGGCTCTCTTCTGACTGCACTCAAACTTGTATTACACAGAATTGCTCCCACTTTGACGCTCACCTGGCAAAGTTTCTATTGCAGTGGGAGTTGGAGAAGCAGCAAATTTTGCTGCCTATGCCTTTGCCCCTGCAACGCTGGTAACTCCACTGGGTGCTCTAAGTGTCCTTGTTAGGTAAGCAGCCTCAGAAACACCCTTACCTCACCTACCACCCCTTAGTGGTAAAAGCAGTTGCTCTGCTTTCCTCTCTGTCTTCCCTCTGGTACTCCATCCCTTGACCTAATTAATTATTTTGGGGTTTTTTATTGTCTTTCAGTGCAGTTCTGTCTTCCACCTTCCTGAATGAGCAGCTGAATGTTCATGGGAAGATTGGCTGCATCCTGAGTATATTGGGCTCCACGGTGATGGTGATCCATGCTCCGCAGGAAGAAGAGGTTTCCAGCCTGGAGTCAATGGCAGAGAAACTGAAAGATCCAGGTACTTGAATAAAAGAGGTCCTGTCAGCTTCAGGCTTGGAAATGACAGTAGAAGGTAGGATACAACTTGGCTAGATTGGGAAGGACTGAACTAAAGGGTAATTGAGCTGTTTCTTGTTCTGCGCACCAGTGGAGGAGAGATTCCCCTGTGTCCAGGATGGCTTGTGGGTTGCCTTCTATGGTGGGGAAAGGCTGGGGTCTCCATGGTCTAAATATGAGAGATTGCTGACAGTGAAACAACATTTATTGAGTGTGCTCAGAGGATTTACACCTTTTTAACTAGCTCAAAACACAGGGGAAAACATAGGAGGACCTGTCAGCTTCAGAATGGCTTTTTAGGATCATTGAATCCTCTTGACCCTGGGTGAAAGAAGCAGACGGGAAACCCACATCACAGAGAGGAAGTCTGGGTCATGCTCCCAAGTCACTGGGTCTGTGCCAAAGCAAGGATGAGAACTTGGATCATTAACAGTTACCAATCGTGCTTTTTTTTGTACTGTCTATGAGGTATAGATGCAAAAAATGAAGAGCATGGGAATTAGCTGCAGCTGTCAGCAGAAGGGTTGGACTGTGGCAGTGCTGGGATAGGAGAGGGAATTCTTGTACACAAGGGTGGCAGTAGTGCAGCTGAGGGAAGACAGAGGAGGAACCTCAGGCAAAGATGAACAAGTGATTTAACAAGTCACACCCAAGATCAAGTAGTACTGATGTTAGAGGATGAATCAGGTTGCAAGGATATGATTTGGGCAATAGCATGAATGGCAAAATAAGCCACAGGAGATGGAGGAAGGAAGCACACACGTAGAAGAGCAAAGCAGAGTAACAGGTAGATGCTGCAGCTCATTAGGAGGAGTGCTCTGGCAGGGCCTCACGCTCCTGTGATGTGGCGCTTTCCTCTTTATCCCACCACAGCCTGCAGAGTTCAGCTAGGCCTTCCCAAGCCTTCTGCCACCCTCCTGGGCCTCCTGCAGAGCTATGCCCCCTCGTCCTTGTGGACTACAAACCCCCCACCTCCACTAGTGCCATAGACCGTGGCTGTGCTCCTACTCCTTCCAGCACAGGTGGCTGTATCCCCTGACAGGCTGACCTGTGGGGTGGTGCTGTGATCTGCAAAGAGCTGCTGTTTTCTCTGCAACTTTGCTTAGGCTGGAGACCAACTGTTTCCCAACCCTGGTTCCTACAGGTGGAGGCTAAAAAGACAGACTGATGGGGCAGTTTTCCACCTGTCCTCCATTTCTACTTGCTGTTCAGTTACATCTGTCAGTGGTGCTACTGTGCTCTGATAGAGGTCTTTTAATTCTTCTTTCCCCAAGGATTCATTGTATTTGCTGCGTGTGTCCTGGTGAGCTCCCTTCTGCTTATCTTCGTGGCTGGACCTCGTTATGGGCAGAGCAACGTCCTAGTTTATGTTTTGGTCTGCTCTGCCATCGGCTCACTTTCTGTGTCCTGTGTCAAAGGCCTGGGGATTGCCCTGAAAGAACTGTTTTCTGGGAAGCCCGTCCTGAAAGAACCACTGGGCTGGGTGCTCCTGGTGTGCCTGGTGATCTGCATCAGCATCCAGATCAACTATCTGAACAAAGCCTTGGACATCTTCAACACATCTGTGGTCACACCCATTTACTACGTGCTGTTCACCACAGCAGTCATGATGTGCTCTGCCATCCTCTTCAAGGAGTGGCAACACATGGTGCTAGACAACATCATCGGCACCATCAGTGGCTTCCTCACCATCGTGTCCGGCATCTTCCTCCTGCACGTCTTCAAGGACATGCCCTTCACCCCTGACCTCCTGCCCCTCTTCCTACAGCAAGGCAGGGCAGACCTGCATACCTCATGGAGGAGTGCAGACAGACACCAGTCATGTCAGCACCAGCCTCTTCTGCCCTCAGAGGACAAAGGCTCCCAGAGCACAGAGGAGGAAGAAGGTGAAAGCGTGTGAGGAAGCCTCTGAACTGCTAGCTTTCTGCTCCCACTGCTGAGCAGCTCCACTGCAAGGTTGAACATGCTGCCTCAGCTGCTGCTAGGTACTGCTGCACTAGCAGGAGTTGGCAGTTACCATCTACGTGCCCCAGGCACAATACGGGTGACCTGCCACTGCCAGGAGGCTGACGGGGACAGCAGTCTCCTGTGGCTACAGGTAGGAGTCCTGGCAACCACCCAGTTCCTGGGATCTGATGCCTCTTCACTGTTCTTTTATGTGAAAAATTGATCTGCCCTCATCAGGGCACAGGCTTCAGCTGTGCAGAGACCTGCAGCACTAACAGAGTGCTAACCCTTACTGAATGCGAAGACCATGCATCTGGGGAGGTCTCACGAGGTTTTTTTTTAAAATATACTTAGAAGATTAACAGTTACAAAATAATCTAACATGGTGCTAAGATTACATGGAGAGAAGATCGATGTCTGGCTTTAAAGAGGACATACTTGGAACATTAATTCAGAAATTCCCATCAAGTACTTGTTTTGCTTGCTCTGCTAGAATTTATTTACAGATTCACATCCAAAACAGAATACAGCCAAAACTGGAAAACTTCAGTGGTGCTGCCACGTGCTGCTGTCGCTCTTATGGAGGGATCAGCCTCTTCACGCAACATCTGCTGTGCAGGCTGATGAAGCACCTGCTTACTGTATTCTATTAAAAACCTATTTGTTCAGTTTCTGAGTGCCTAGTGATACATTTGTAACAAGAGCTGGGCCAGTGCTGAAAAGTGTGAAAGATTACAGGGGCAGGAAGAACCATATGGATATTTGAGAGAAGCTCAAGATAGGGATAGGAGAGGGAATCACTTAATGTGGGAACAAGAGTGATCTAAGAGTCCTTAAATATGCAGGTAACTTTCTGAAAGATAACTAGACAGCTGTTTCCTTGCTTACGTCGGTTTGTATCTGCACAGCTTTGTTTAACGCATCCTGAATTTGTTCCCAGGAAGGCTGCTGGCTACAAGCCACCCACATTTGGAACTCTCACATACCCTGTCCAGCATCTACAGCAAATGGATGTGCACAGAACTGTTTTATGAGGTTCCTGTGTAGAGCTTCAAGCCCCTGTCAGTGGGTCACTCCACACTTCCCAGAGCCATGCTGTACATAAACACTATTGAAATGCTATGCTGCCTTTCCAGAAGGCAGACCAGTAGTTTGTTATTTTTCCAGTTAGAAGCTCTTCTCTGTGTCCTGGGGGCAGAGGTACAGAAGACACAGCCATAGGCCTTCTTCCCTCCAGTATCTCCACAGGTAAAGGTGCCTAAGGTTATAAAGTAGCTGGTTACTTATTTCCTGCATTCAGTTTCTCTGAAGAAACTACTTTGCACATCAGCAGGAGCTCTTAACCCTTTGGGGAAGGGGAGGAAAGGCCACAGCCTCTCCCAGAACTAAGTTTGATTCAAGGGACCAAGTTAATTGAGCAACAAATCAGCATTCAGAACAGACCTTCTAGCCAGAAGACAATTACACCCCCTCCCTACTAATTTTGCAATAAACAGGATCACTGGGAAGGAGGAGGAGTGGCAAGAAGGCCAGATTTTCAATTCTCAGTGGTCATTTACCTGAACAAAGGAGAATCTCAGGTTAAAATTTGACCCAGTTGATATTTATTATATTGACCAGGGGAAAGCAGTTAATGGAGCAAGTCAGTACTGACAGAGTTGCGCTGCAATTTGAAAATTTGTCACTTGGCCACATGACTGATTTACCTATGGGAGTATTTTCCAGTAGTGACACTGCCTGGGGTGATGAGAGTGCCCAACAAGCTCTCCTCGCTAAGGGTACCTGTACTGGACTGCCCAGTGACAGCGCCTGCAGGGCTTGTTAGCATCTACCCAGGAGGGTTCGTTTTGTGCAGCACCATTTAAGGCAGTGGTTGCAGGCCGGCCTTGCCCAGAGCTGAGGTTCGCATCGGTGCTGGGAGCACCCTCTGACATGAGCATCACCATCCCTCCATTCAGCTGAGTGGGGGCGTTTCGAACACTCCCTGCACAGCATCAGTAGCCCTGGAGTCCCAGCACACAGACAGCTGCTGGCCTGCGGCGCTGGGAGCAGCATGTCACCCCAAGGAGTGACCGTGCCTCTGTCGTGGGCTCTCATCTGGCTGCAACTTCCCCGAGACTGGCATTTAATTAAATCCTAAACCCCAGAGCTGATCCTGGCTTACTGAGGTGACAGAGCGACCAGGAGCTGGCGTGGCGGAGGGCCTGGCCTCGGGGGGAGGGTCTGGTCTGGCCAGCGTCCCCCAGGGCGCGGGTCCCACTCAATCAGACAGGCTCTCCGAGAAGGCCGACTTCGACTTCTGCGTCTGCTCCAGTCGGTTCAGGATGAACTGGCTGGTGTCGATGAAGCGCTCCACGCAGTTCACAAAGCACGTCTCCGCCCGGCTGTCCAGCTTCGGGCCTGGCTTGTCCATGCACTTCTCCTGCGCACAGCGACGGACCCGTTGGTCCCGGGGCACCGCGGTCCGACC